ACACACACACACACACACACACACACACACACACACACACACACACAAGCATGCACCTTTAGTCCTTTTATGGAAACCTGTGCAACATTAAAAGTCATAACGAAGACAAATGTGCAAGGTTTCAAATATAAGATGAATCTTTAAGGTTGAATTTAAGACAGTAATGTGAAAGCTGAAAGCATGATTCACATTATGGTTTTCCTGTTTATTTTCACGTATGGTTTTTATTGCAATCTAACTACAATGAAAATGTAAAGGTTTATTCAGCATTCACATTATCACTGACCTGTTCGTTTTTTTGTTAGAACAGTTTTGCAATCCAAGTACTTGTGCATACTTTAGCCTAATGTATCCATTTATATATTAAAGAACTCAGAGGTCATTCAGAAGACGGGTGCTAGCTTGGTTATTGTAACTTTTATACTTTTATAAATATTTAATTTTATTTCAAAATTATTTCCTTGTAAAATCATTTAGATCTCTAAATTTTTCCAAAACAGCTTTTAAAAAAAAAAATCTGCTTCAACATACTGGCTCTGTTTTTTTAATGTTACTTTTAATTTGTAGATTTGGTTCTGCTACTGGCGGCATGGTGGCTCAGTTGGTAGAGCTGTTGCATGTCAGCGAGATGGTCGCAGGTTCAAATCCCGATCGGAGACCTTTCTGGGTGGAGTTTGCATGTTCTCTCTGTGCATGTGTGGGTTTTCTCCTGGTACTCCGGTTTCCTCCCACAGACCAAAAACATGCATGTTAGGCTGATTGGTAACTCTAAATTGTCCCTAGTTGTGAGTGAGAGAGTGAATGGTTGTTTGTCTCGTTTGTCTCCATGTGTCTCTGTAATTGGCTCAAGACCTGTCCAGGGTGTCCCCCGCCTCTTGCAGTGACTGCTGGATATGAGCACCAGTGACCCCCGTGATCCGAAAAGGAAGAAGTGGGTAAACAGAATGGATGGATGAATGGGTTCTGCTACTTTAAACTTTTAACTAGCCTCTTGATATCTTTATGTTTACACTACCCTTCTGCTACTTTTAGCCATTTAACTAAAGTTTTGATGGTTTTAGTTAGCGTTTTGCTGTTTTCCAAGCATTTTATTTTTCTTACCTAGCATTATTGGGGGGGGGGGGGGGGGGTTATTTAGCTAGTATTTTGTTCACTTTAGGTTTTAGCTCATGTTTTTGCCCTTTTTAGCAGGTATTCTGTTTCTTTAACTTTTTAGCTAGTGTTCAGCTTCTTGTGTCTCTCAGTTAGTATTTTGTTCTTTTTAGCTTTTAGCTAATGTTTTGCTCTTTTTACTTTTGCTCCTTTTAGCTAATTTTTGACACATTTGGCTAACATTTTGCTCTTTTTGAGTTTAGCTTGCATTTAGCTCCTTTTAGCATTTAGGTTTGTTAATTTTATGCAGCATTTTGATCTTTTCTGTTTTGAGTTAGCAATCTGCTCCTTTTAACTTTTAGATAGTGTTTTGCTCCTTTTAGCTTTTAATTGACATGCTGTTTCCGTAAACGTTTCACTAGTGTTTTGCTATGTTCAGTTTTGCTTCTTTTAGCTAGCATTTTACAACTGTTGGCTTTAGTTGGTGATATGATCCTTTAACCTTTTAGCTACCATTTTGCTACATTTAGTTTTGCTACTTTTAGCTTGCGCTTTGCTTAATTTAGGCTTTTACAAGAGTTTGGTTTATTTTAGCTCTTAGCTAGTGTTTTGCTAGGGCCCTGCTTATTTTAGCTTTAAGCGTAGTTCCATCTTTATCAAATTCCAGTCATTCAGCTATCATCCACACTGCGTTTGTGCAGAAAATGCACTTTCTCTCGTTAGATTTGTCTGTGGTGCGTCGGGTCGTGCAGTCAAGAAAACAAAGAACATAATCAGTGCTGAGTAAGAGATATCACCAAGGGGAGCATATACATCAACAACCTTTTCACCCGGCCTTCATTTTATCCTTCACTGTCTTTAAAACATATCTCCTTTCACTGTAAAAAGCCTCTGTCTTCCTTTTCGGCTTTTCATTTGCTCCCTGTCCGTACTTCTCCTCTTCTGCCTCTCTCTGAAGTGGCTGAAGGAGTGAAGGAAGGAGAGAGACAGATAGTGGAAGGAGGATGCATGAAAAGAGGGAGGGTATGTGAGCATGTGGGGGAGGGTAGCACTGCAATCTCTGGCAGAGATAGCTGTGACGCACTATTACACACACTTGTGCTGTATGGCATTCAAGAAACTGTGGCAGGTGAGGAGCCCGGGAGTTGGTGGATTTTCCGGGTCACAAGTAAAGCTGGCTGGAAGCGGATTTGATGCATGAACAGAAACGCGTTTAGACTGTGATATTAAGAAGAATAAAAATGTTTCCCATCTTAGACACTCACACACAGACCCAATTTCCTGCCTAACGGGTAGAAACAGGAAGGAAGTCCAATCTGAACTTCCCCCTACAGTCAGACCCGCCCCAACGACACTGCATGGCAAATTATCTTTCTGCCTCACACACACAAACACACACTCCCTATTTGTACCGATAGTGCGGCGAAGCTCCTCACACTGGCTAATGTGCGGGAGTTTAAGCATCTCCTTCCATTTCTTGCTGCGGCCATTCCTCTTTCCTCCTCCACCTGAGAGACACAAAGAGAGATTTATGTCAGATCAATCAAATCACTGCTGCAACACTTATCAGTCTGTTTAACAACATTATCAGATCAGGAGTCAGAAGGCATTCAATCAGTGTGTGTGTGTGTGTGTGACTGAGTGACAGTTTTCACGTGTGTGTCTTGGTGTCACCAGAGGCAGCTGGTTTATGTCACCAGTTGCCTCGCTGCAATATGGCAGGGCATGTGATGAACACTGACAGCTTTGAAGATCAGCAGCGCTCTGTCAAACATTAGCCAAACATAACTATAAACTATCTTACACACGGACCCGCACACAGGTGATGAGTAGTCGACTTGGTGGATCGGTCACCCGGAGCGTTAGGAGTGAAACTTGTATACACAACAGCATTCTTCAAAGGAACTGAGCCGCTCCTAGAAGCAGTGTACGTGTGTGTGTGGGGCGGGGGGTCCGCCAGTGCGACCGTTATGAGACCGTTTGGTGACTAAAAAGTTGTGGAAAACTGCAAGTGACGCGCGTGAACTTTCAGTTGCAGTATCGCTGAACTCAGCTGTATTTTTGAAAAACCGCAGCTCACTGTTGTGTGCACGGCTTGCAAAGCTGCACTCTTGGCCGTTTACATTACTTCCTGCCCAAGTTGGCAGCCGCCTGTGATTTATTCTGCTGGAGTAAACGTTTGAAGTCAAGACAGGCAGATTTGAACCTGTTTTTTAATAATTATTATTTATCACTCATGTGGGTTTTTTTTAATCGTGGACAAGTTTTGCAGTCACAGGAGCGCTCCTGTGCAGGAATCAAAATACAGCTCCGATGCTCTGGCGGCGAAAATTGTCACACTTGCATAAAATGCTAAATTCAACTTAATACAGGTTAATCCCATTGAGCTTCGGGGACTCATTTACAAGAGCGACCTGAATTTTTAACAAAGAGTGATGACAACAGTGGACAACAGTGGACAACAATGACAACAATAGACAATCCTAAAGGATGCGTACTAATTTAATAAAAAAAAAATTACAAGTTAAAATAAAATGTTAATTAAAAGGAAAAGTAGCGAAAAAACAGCTAGATTGTAAGGAGGTGTAGAAAACTAAAAGCAGGAACATGTCTGCATTGGTTTTTGTCATGAACTTAACAGATGTTTAAAACTACTTAAGAGAGGTCAAGGTCGAGAGCTTCAGATCTTTTTGTAAGATATTCCAGGAAACAGGAGCGGAGTAGGAGAAGAAACTTTTGCCAAGTTCAGGCCTCACTGAGGGGACACTGCATGTAATAATGTCCTGAGAGCGCATGCTGTAGCTGCACTCATGCAGTGACATGTAGGAGGAGATGTATGAAGGCAGCAGACCAAGAAGTGATTAAAAGTTGAAAATGTACCAAATACTACCTCGTGCATACTCAGTGTTTTCCCTACCATTATACAAGCGGGGCGCCCCACCCTGTTAACAGAACCGAGAGCCCTGCCTACCGAACTGAACTGTGCTCAACCTCCCCTCCTCGCCCACCCGACAGAACCGATGTAGCGCTAAGCTAGTGGTGCGAAATACAAGCGGACTAGCTAAAATACTAGTGCTGCCTCTTCCCTCACACTGAACCCCCCTTCCCCCACCTCAAAAACTGCCGGTAAAAACAGCACACAGCTCAGCTATGTCTGTGCGCCGGTGCCCATGTCCAGCAATCAAAAAACTAGGAATGCACGATATTGGATTTTTGGCTGATATCCGATATGCCAATATCCATCCATCCATCCATTATCTTTACCCGCTTATTCCATTTTGGGTCACGGGGGTCGCTGGTGCCCATGTCCAGCAATCACTGTGCGAGGGGCAGGGTACACCCTGGACGGGTCGCAAGTCCATCACAGGGCCACAAAGAGACAAACGAGACAAACAAACATTCACTCTCTCACTCACACCTAGGGACAATTTAGAGTTACCAATCAGCCTAACATGCATGTTTTTGGTCTGTGGGAGGAAACCGGAGTACCCGGAGAAAACCCACGCATGCACAGAGAGAACATGCAAACTCCAACCAGAAGGCCCCCAGACCGGGGTTTGAACCGGGGACCTGCTCGCTGAGAGGCAGCAGCTCTACCAGTTGCGCCACCGTGCTGCCCTGTGTGCTAATTTTTTTTTTTCCTTCTCGCACTCCCCACTGAAACCCCATCCTGTGCTTTTCTCTTAATCAGAACTAGTTTCTTACAAGGAATGCAGCGAACATTGTGTGATTGGCCAGAGCTTTGTGGGCGTGTTTAGCCAGCTGATTTTTGAGAGCAGCGTCTGCTGAGGAGCAGCTGGTCGACACTGTTGGAAAAATATAGCCAACATTACAACTGTTCCAGCAAACATGATAAAAAATAGTCAAATAAAACTTGTAAAGATAGTCAAAGAACTCGTAGAAAGAGAAAGCATAGGTGCACGTCAGGAACTTTAGCAGTCTCTTCGTAACAAATTTACAAAATTGCGCTTCTTCTAAATTTACAGCAAAAATATCTTCCTCCTCCATTTACTCCATCAGCTTAAAGTAAGCATCCACTCCTCCAACCATGCTGTCTGTGTTGATTCTGTTTGCATGTGACGTGGGAGGACTTATCAGGAGGTCTACCGCACCGGTTTCTCTTTGAGTACGAATATACCACGCATGCTATAGTAAACAGTAGTTTATCCACTGGCGTGGTGCCAAAAACCTTTAAACATGCTGCTGTCCAGCCTCTCCTGAAAAAAAAATAAACCTTGACCCCTCAGTCGTTTCCAACTTCCGGCCAGTCTCCAAACTCCCATTTGTTTCTAAAATACTGGAGAAAGCAGTTGATTCCCAGTTGAAGTGCTTCCTGGAGGGTCACGCCATCTTAGAGCTATTCCAATCTGGCTTTAAATCTCTCCACAGCACTGAAACTGCCCTACTGAAGGTTTTTAACAACATCTTCAGATCCATAGATACTGGTGATTCTGTGCTGCTTGTCCTATTGGACCTCACAGCCGACTTTGACACCATCGACCATGAGATCCTCATTGCTAGGTTGGAGCAGTGGGTGGGCATCACAGGGTCAGCCCTCAATTGGTTCAGATCTTACCTTGCTGACAGATCCTTTTGTGTCTCCATCAAGGATTTTAGTTCTGCAGTGACAGAGCTTAAATGGGGGGTTCCACAGGGGTCCATCCTGGGTCCCCTCCTATTCTCTCTATACCTGCTGCCACTTGGTGCTACTTTCCAGAAACAACATACCCTTTCACTTCTATGCCGACGACTGTCAAATTTACTTCCCCCTAAGACACAATGGTACATGCTCTATTCAACCTCTGCTCGACTGCCGGGCTGACATCAGGGACTGGATGGCTTTAAACTTCTTAAGTGTCCATGAAAAGATGTCTGAAGTCATGTTGTTCCCTCCCAATGACACAATCACAAACCATTGCATCGACCTTTCCACTCTAACCCTGTCAGAAAAACAAAGAGTCACTAATCTGGGAGTGATAATGGACCCTTCCCTGAAACTGAACAATCATGTAAACATGATTGCTAAATCATGTTTCTTCCAAATGAGGCAGCTGTCTAAACTGAAGTCCATATTGTCCAAAAATAACCTGGAGACAGTAATACATGCATTCATTACATCTAGGCTTGATTACTGCAATTCACTCCTGTTTGGTATCAGTCAGACCTCCATTGCACGACTACAACTGGTCCAGAATGCAGCAGCCCGATTTTTAACCAGTACAGGCAAAAGAGAGCACATTACACCAGTTTTGGCCTCCCTGCACTGGTTACCGGTTCACCTTCAAATCCAGTTCAAAATACTACTGTATGTCCACAAATCGCTGAACAGTTTTCCTCCTAATGACAGAAAACATCAAAGACCACAGCCCTGAATGTCCAGGTCTAACAATGCTAATGATAATTAATAATTAATATTTAAACAGAAAGTTACAACTCTGCATATCTTCATTTAAAAGTTTACTCCAGCATAATAAATCATAAATGTGGAGGTGGCTGCCGAGGTGGATACAAAGCGAGCCAAGGCTGGTATGAATTGGACAGAGGTGGGCAAAGAAATCATGGGCACAGCTTAAGTTTTGATAACAAATGATGATTTTCAAAAGGCTACACAAGTTGCTGGTCACTTGGTTGCAAACATTCAAAATTCAGTGAGACTGCCACTGAAAATCTTATTTTATAGCAGTTTTGACCAACAACATATACCACATTAAGAAACCAAAGTGTCCAAATTTACAAGGCCACAAGTCATAAAAATCTGATAGAAAATGCAGCAATGATCACCTTTTAATAAAACCAAGCCATAAAAGCATGCCCCTATTGGCAATTCTCTCTCAGAGCCCTTATTAAGAACTTTATGCACATTATGCCATACAGACTAAATTAGTCCCTGGCAGGCTAATGGTACAACACTTGAGAACTAAACAAAGAGATGCACAAATATAAAGAACAAACAAAATGAGAACAAAGCATACAAATACACAGTTTTACGGTGGTTTAAGTTCCTTCCTGCACCGTTTAACATAAGGCTTTAAAATTATAACAGGGAAAACTCTCTTAAAGTTGATCGTAAACTATTCCAACTATTTACACCTTTTGACGAACAACACAGCTCGTCCAAATGTCCAACATCTGTGTGGCACTTCACAGCCACCTGTAATGGTGGCTCCTGTACTAATGGCACTTCCAGTCCTCAGTTTCAGTTTAAAGGAAACAGAGTTCAAGCTAAATTAGATCAAATCTTTAAAAATCTTATACGAGAGACAACGGCCAAATTAAACATATTTTACCCCATTTGCTCGCTTTTGAGCTCTAAACCATCCATTTACAGATTCCCACCCAGAGAAACGCAGCGCTTTCAAGCCAATAAAAATTTAGAATTTGGAGGGGCTCGCTGTGAAATAAAAAACACATTCGCAAAACATTCCCACAAAATGGCTGAACAGACCGGATGATCGTTGTGCTGCCTCGGAGCATTCAAAATCACAGATGAAGCCGGCCATGGATCGCA